TGAAGGAAATTCTGTACTTGTACATTGTTCCGATGGATGGGATCGTACTGCTCAAGTTTGTGCCCTAGCTCAAATTATATTAGATCCATATTATAGAACATTTCTAGGGTTGCAAGTGAGTTAAAAACAAATGGATATGTAAATACGTAGAGATTGTTTGACCTGTATTGTACAAATAACTTAAATATCAAGAAGGGAGTTAAATCCATAAGACACCAAAAAACTGTCCTATATCATGTAACTCATCAGAACCATCAGCAACGTGAAACATGTTAATTTTCATGTTCAGTATGTTTATTGATGAAGAAAGTTTTTTTGTTTGAAGTATTCGTTTGCTGTCTCAGTTAATTTTATAGTGGTGTATTTAAGAGGTAATGACGTACATTATATAGCAAATTATCAAACTGAAAGTAATAATAATTAGTTGAGTCACATCCGGAGTTGTAGGTAAGGTAGGGCGAGGTTCTAGGAGACTATGAGTAACCACTCGACGGGACTAGATTTTCATAGATTGGTCAATTGGTTAGTATGTGTAACGCATGTTCTAACCATAGTACCTACCCCGACATCTTACACTGAATGGCATAGGAAACCAGGAACAGTCAAGCAAAATAAAACTCAACCTTAACCGTTTCTTGATCGAAAATACTGTCGCACCCCAGTACGGTTGGCAGTAAGACTTCTTTGTGGATCTCAAGACTGCTGCTTTTAGTTTCACCCCCCCCCCAAACCAATTTTCCTGTCATGGTCAGATCCTCAGGGAATAAGTGTCCTAGCCAACATTACTCTGTTGGATCATCACATACAAGCTCGGTCATCGTGTCAAGGTGGCATCCATCGTCGTGCTGTATTTGCAACGAAAATTTCAACAGTTTCTATGACTATTGATGCATACTTGTACAGTCCTAAATAAGGCTGATGACAATTTATCAATGTTCTGTGATTTTCACTTTATAAATATATATATGCATATATATATATATATATATATATATATATAATATATATATATATATATATATATATATATATATATGAAGAGATCATGGGACGACATGGATCGGGAGAAAGGAACGAAAATGGTGAGAGATTTGCAAACCTATGTGCCTTCAATAAACTGGTCATAGGCAGCACCATATTCCCACACAAACGCATACACGAAACCACATGAACTTCACCGGATCACACTACACAGAACCGAATCGACCATATCTGCATCAAAAAAGTTCAGGAGGACAATGGAGGATGTGAGAACCAAGAAAGGAGCTAATATAGCATCAGATCATCACTTGCTGGTCGCCAAGATGAAATTGAAACTCAAGAATGGAGCGGACAACATCAGAGAAGTTTAATACGGCCTTTCTTCGGGATACTGACAAACCAGAACGACCAGTGAGAAGCAAGGAGGGCAAAGTGATCACCAACATCGAAGAACAGCGCGACAGGTGGGCAGAACATCGAAGCAGCATCCACGGACCTCCCAATCAATTCTGGCCCACCATTAATTAAAGAAACAGCTCACAGACTCGTTCGAAGTAAAGACTGATGTCAGGTAATGTTGCTTACTATCACCCTTTCCTTTTCTCCTAGTGGTCGACTGAATTATGAAGACGTCAACATCTAGGGGAAAGCATTGGATACAGTGAACAGCTGGCGACCTAGACTTCGCAGATGATCTGGCTTTTCTATCGCACACGCAACATCAAATACAAAAGAAGCCAACCAGTGTAGCAGCAGCAGGTCTCAACATACACAAAGGGAAATGCAAGATTCTCCAATACAACACAGCATGCAACAATCGAATCACACTTGACAGAGGAGATTTGGAAGATGTAAAAACCTTTACATATCCGGGCAGCATCATTGATGAACACGGTGGATCTGATGCAGATGTGAAGGTGAGGATCGGAAAAGCAAGAACAGCATATTTACGACTGAAGAACATCTGGAAGTTAAAACAACTGTCAACCAACACCAAAGTCAAAATTTTCAATACAAATATCAAGACAGTTCTACTGTATGGGGCGGAAACTTGGAGAACTACAAAGGCCATCATCCAGAAGATACAAGTGTTTATTAATAGCTGTCTACGCAAAATACTTCGGATCCATTGGCCAGACACTATCGACAACAATCTACTGTAGGAGAGAAATAACCAGATCTCAACAGAGGACGAAATCAGGAAGAAGCGCTGGAAGTGGATAGGACACAATGAGGAAATCACCCAACTGCATCACAAGGCAAGCCCTCATATAGAATCCTCAAGGCTAAATGAGAAGAGGAAGACCAAAGAACACATTACGCCGGGAAATAGAGATAGACATGAGAAAAATGAACAAGAATTGGATGGAATTAGAAAGGGAGGCCCAGGACAGGGTGGGTTGGAGAATGCTGGTCGGCGGTCTATGCTCCATTAGGAGTAACAGGCGTAAGTAGGTTAATATATATATATATATATATATATATATATATATATATATATATATATATATATATATATATATATATCATATAACTTTATCTTGTTAGGCTTTAATTGAAAAAGACTGGATACAATTCGGTTACAAATTCACTGAACGATGTGGTTTAGTGTCAGGTGCTGATTCCCGTGAAATCTCCCCAATATTTACACAATTTCTTGATTGCTTACGACATTTGCTAGAAATCTGCCCAACTAAATTTGAATATAATATTAAATTACTAAAGTATTTACATGATCAAATTTATTCAGCCGTTTATGGAACATTTATTGGATGTAGTGAAAAAGAAAGAGTCAATTTAAAGTTAGTTGTTTTGTCTCCGATTTTTAAAACTCATTTACCATGTACAGATTTTTGTACTTAACTTCAAGTTACACTACAAGTGTCTGGTGCTGGTGATCCTACTATCATCCGGTAGTCTAAACTGGAGCAGGATGAGATGAGAGCCCAAAGCTGCGACCTAATTATTGGGTGTCTAACGCAGCGACTACCACTCATAAGTTGTTTATTATTAAGTCGCCATGGTCTATCTAGCATCTGACACTGATGTATGCCTCCGTTCAATTTGGCATAGTTGCATCAGCGTAAAGAGATATAAATGAACTAAACACTTGATAAACTAGTCGTATTATTAGTGATACTGTCTATGGTTGTGAAAAAGACCAGTTGTTATAAAAAATATAGTTTAGAAAGAATGAATGCATTCATGGGGTAAAAAATTCTGAAATGTAGGTTGGTGGTTGGAAATAGTCGACAAAATCCGTTTGACCTAGGTTTCGTTCTATTCGACACTCGTCGTAATGGTGTACCTGTAATTTCAAGGGGAACGATGCTGGTTGGGGAATTCTATCCTGTCACTTCTAGCTTCATAGTCAACGACGTTACCACTGAACTCGGGTCGTGACTGAACTGTAGGACTGGGATGCATTTACAATTTTGATCAATAGAATTCGATTAACACTAAAAAGGATTTTACGTTGGTCACTACTCAGTTATCATTTAGTTGTAAGTATGGAGTAATAGTGTAGTGAACGAGAAGTCAGGTGGGTAATACCAATTTACTGTTTATTTCTATATTACAGAATGTCTTCCTAAAATATGAAAACCATATATTAAATACACAGTTTGCACATCTTCCATCAATTGTCTCTTACAAACATCGTCGTTCCTTCATTCTATTTGTTATTACAATCCCTTTCTGTTCTCTTCAATTCGATCTTCTCAACCTTCTGTTTCCAGGCATTCCACTTGTGATTGGTGTTGCATACTACTTATGTCTGTTGAAATCACGCGAGCGGGATCGTGGATGCGCACTGCTGAGCAGTCCCACAATAGGACGAAACGGTTGTTCAGTGCTTCCAGGTTTCCAAAGGTGGTCTAACATCAATCGGTTCATGATCTCAATCGTAAACTTGATAATCTCCACAACCTCTATACTTGAAATTTATTTATTGATTAAACATTGTTCTACTACATTCAGTTTATGATATACTTAAATGTAAATCTTATTTCATTAGTAAATAAACTGTCTCACTTTCAACAAATATAGCCAAATATGTACGAATTCATTTATTTCGTAGATTCCCATCATTTAAGATCGAAATGTGAACATGTTTTCAACATTACGATTGTTCATCACTTGCTTGATAGTGAACATGATGTTAATATTACATTATCTTCCAAATTAATCAATACGTTAACAACCTCAAAGTTAATAACGTTTCATAGAAATCATTGCCACTAAAAATGGTCGGAATAGAAATTATCCATCCAAAAAGCGTACAGTTGTTGATTTTGCACTACCCCAGTGACTTCAGTTCCCTATATTTAATTGGATAATACATTCTCGGTTATTAGTTATTTTTCTTCATTCTTGCATTAATTTTTTCCAGCTTTACCCGTTTTACTCTGTTCGTCTATTCTTTTTTACAGTTACTTTTATATAACTTTTGAAATGAAGTTTTATTTGCTAGGAACATGAATTCATATGTTTTTTTGGACGAAGTTCTCTCCTAGAATATTCACATCAATATTCAGCCCCCAGAAACACTTATAATTCTTTGATATTTATTGCCACTTTTTCATGAATCTTCAGTAAAATGATGTAGACTATGTATATCGGTGTTAAGTAATCATTACTACTGTTTCTAGGTTGTAAGAGCTATTGAAGAGAAATTACCGATCAATAAATTCACCCTATTCTGCCACACATTCATTGTTCTTGCTTCATAGATAAGGAAAATTGTATGGAGAGAAACAGTTACTCAGAGTTCCACCATATGTTTTCTAGACTATTCAAATGATATCGATTCGTGAGAACAGTGATTACCAAAATATGGGAAAGTTCTCACAAGAGAAAAAAATTCTGTTGAACACATAAAAAGAATAAACTCAAAACTTACCTTATTAAAAACGATGAATGATGCATGGAGATTTGGCAGTGTTTCAAAAAAATAAACATATTTCATTTGGACATCAGTGCCGCATTAAAAATTGTACATATTAAACTGAATGATTCATTTTCTTTAATGATATCGTATTATGTAGGAATTTGTGAACTCGATACACATATGAAACTGAATTATTCTCTTAAATAGTTTTATTTTGATGTGTTTTTTTTCATTATTGTCTATATACATTTTACCTAAGAACGTAACCATATAAGGTGGTTCACTGTGAAATTTAAATTACTTACGAAATTATCATTATAGGGTTGCGGAGATTATTGAGTTCACATTAATATCATGGATGGATCAATGTTAGACCATCATTGAAAACCTAGAAACACTGTACGGCCGTTTCGTCCCAGTATGGGGCTCATTCAGGACTTGATCTCGCGCGCGAGCGCCTAACCGCTAGACCACTGAGCTGGCATCCAACGGTGTTAATGTCTGACTTCATTCTGATACTAATCATCACTAATGACTAGCTTCAAGATGGATTTCCTGGATTTCCAGTGAAGAGCCACGACCAGTGTAGTTCAATCCGTATTGGTTGAAGAATTACCGCCTCAGAAAATGGATTGCGCGAGGTTATGGATCGACCGAAGTTAGACGTTAACACTGTCGGATGCGGGCTCAGTGGTCTAGAGGCTAAGTGTTTACATGCAATATCGATGGTCCTGGGTTCGAGTCTCGCGGGTGCGATCGTGGATGCGCACTACCGAGGAGTCCCATACTAGGACGGAACGACTGTCCAGTGCTTCCAGATTTTCGGTGGTGGTTTGGCTTAGATCGACTCATGAATTCAACTATTAGAATTACTGCAATCTCCACATACCCCCATTCTGACGGTTTATTATTAGTGGTTAGTATACAACGTTAACATAGAATTATCAGCACTAAATATTTTAATAAGTTTCTCTTACAAAACTTTCCATTAGGTACATGTCTAAGAATACAAGTTACTGACTACTCCAGCTCTTACAAACTGTTTGTCACATAGTATATTCGCTAGATATAAGGCATTGTAGAGTTTATATTACCTTTGCTTGTGTGCATGCATTCTAGTGTATAGGCATCTCGTTCTACCAGGCGAAAAATTTAAATGGAGTGGATGTTTATTATTTCATAAGATAACACTTGCCATAATCATCTTGATAATGACCTCAAAAGATTCACCACACACCCTTCTAACTGTCTTTAGCACTCTCCGCGACATAGCAAAATCTTATCTCAAAAGCCCGCGAAAAAATAATGGAGAATAGAAAAGAATAATAGGTAATATATGCAAGAATTAACAAACCATAAAAGTAAAGAGTAATTCCCGATGCATATAGCCTATTTGTATAAAAAATCAAACTGAAGACTCTCCTCGATATTCATAAAACATGAGAAGATCAAGAGAGACCAGAAGAAAAAATCACAGTAATATAAATGATCTGTGACAGTAATTTTATCGCAGAATCTCCAATAGTACAAACTTTATGGGATTCCAACAGGGTGTTTAAATGCTATTCGTGTCTCAGACTAAAATTAACAATTTGAAATTTCGAAGAACTATGTTTGAAATCATTAACAACAGAATATTGTTCAGTGAGCGACAATAAATCATTCATTTCAGGAAAATGTAAGGATGCAGTAATCGGCGTATATACATTAAGATAGTCCGCATATTTAGCAAAAGAGATTTCTGTAGATGTTAGATCATGCAGAAATAAAACAAGTACAGATTTATGTGCCACACCTTCATAAGTCAGTAGAGACGTTGAACAATTTCCGCTAAGCATAGGATACTGTTCTCTTTCAGAGAGGTAAGAACATAGCCAGTTGTCGGTGTTGACTCTGGCAAACTCGTTATGTAGCAGTGGTCTTGGAATAGAGTAAAAGGCAGAAGTATAGTTCATAAGTGCGCATCGAACACACTGCTTACCCTTTTCTAAGCGGAACACCCTATCATGTTGTAGAACAATAGCATCGTCTAAGGTAATTCTTTTGCATTTGATAGTAAACTGATAGCATCGAATGCTCTTTTGGATTGAGAATAGCAGTAGTTCCTCCATTGTTTGGAGAAAAGGTGAAGTTATTACTATGGGTCTATATATTGCATTTTTATCACCAGATACTTTCTTTGATGTTGGGATCACCTTTATCTTTATCTAGAGTATTGGTTTGAGATTAGTTGAGAAGGGTTTGTCAGAGACGCTCGTGGATGGATGGCAGATAACGCTAGCACACCTCTTGAAAGGGAGGTCCTAAATACTTGCACGAGTTAAGCGACTGGAGACATTTTTAGGCATCGGTTTCATTGAAAATTGAAACACAACTATTCTTAAAACTCGTGGATGTAGGAAGCATGACATCAGATGATTGACTTGCAAAAGAATTATTTAAGCCAAAAACATTCAGCTGGTCATCGCCTTTAATCGGTCGGTCACCTGTAAGCTATTTAAGCAGTTTCCACATATTTCGAGGGTTTTTACAAGACTGGAATTTTAGAGTAAATATCGAGTTCAGACGTCCTATCTCGTGGTTTATTAGACAATTTAGCTTTCAAACTTCTGTGAATTTTTTCTCCGTGTACATTCCTCATTTTTCCTTCCACAATCGTCTAGGCTGTTTGAATGTAAATCGATCATAACTTACAAAAATGGTATCAGTGGAGCAACAAACATCCAAGAAGAATTTTAGATTTAAAAAAATGATAACATCAACGATGTTTTCAAATGAGTCATTTGTAAATAAATCCCAGTTTCTCATACGAAACTTATTTTTCAGATTTCGGATATTTTCTCCTGAGTAATTCCATTTCTAATTAGAAATGAAATAATTTCTGAATGACTTTGTAACATATTATTTAGTGCACTGCTGAGAAGTCCCGTACTAGGACAAAACGGTCTTCCAGTGTTTCCAGGTTTCCAATGGTGGTCCAATTAAGATCAGCTCGCGATTTATAATCCACGAAAATTCTATACTCTGATAATGATCATGTTCTCATTAGTTACTTGCTTCAACAAAAAATTCCTGGAGTTCTGGTGAGAAAACGCGACCAGTGAAATCCAGCCATGACGAGTGTGAGACAGCTATACACCACATGTAACAGAATATGGTAGTTCAGTACCATGAGTTGATTGAAGTCAAGCATTAACATATTTGAATTCCATGCCAGTGTTTGAAAGGTTGGGTGCTTGCGTACGAGATCTGGGGTCCTCGGTTCGACCATATGTGATGGGATCGTGGATGCGCACTTCTAAAGTGCTTCCACATTTATAACAATTATTTAACCTATATCAGTTCGTGATTTAAAACCTATGATTGACCGAATGTTCTGTAAAGATTTTTATGAACTGTAGAAAATTGATTGAATGCTATTTGCATTGTTGTGTTGACTGGGTCAAAAGTGTGCACAATTCTAATGCTCAAAAGACTTAAATTTGAGCAGACACAAGATAAAGGCTGGGTGAGAAATCGCACTGGTCATTAAACATTAGTCAATGTTTTGTTCGTCCAGGTCCCGTAACAGATGGGCTTCTATCTATCAAGGTTTTCCGTCGACTGCTTTCAGCCATCTAATATCGTTAATGCCTAAGAGACTCTATTGCTGAAACACCTAATACAGTTTCTGTAACTCATCCGTACTTATGGTTGATCAAAATAAATTAAACAGGAATATGTCAAACAGTTGCTTTTACATAAACCCCGCCTGGAATCAT